GGGGAATAAGGACAAATAAGATATCAGTAAAATATATAGATAGAGGATAATAACAAGATTAATTAGCTTATATACGATAAATAGATAAAAAGATGCATCATGAATAAGACTTTTAATAAGTCATAAGATAGCATAAATATATAATAAAGGCGTTTCGCCTTAGAGAAAATTATCGTTGGTGATCATAATTTACTTCGTTACCCCCCCCCCCACATTTACTGAATAAACTAAACGATCTACTACAAAGTGGCATAGCAGTACGATCATTCGTTTGTACTCTACGTACTGAGGACTGCCGTGGTTGTATTGTCCAACTCTCCCTACGTACCGTGGACAGTTGTGGTTGATTATTTTGTTCCGGTTTGTTGTCCAAGTGGAAGGTCCCAGCCGTGGTTATTGTGTCCAGTGTCCCGACGTACTGTGGATTGCTGCGGTTTATTGAATTAATAAGTGAGAGTTTAAGTATTGAGTTCCTGATATACGTCAAGAAAGATATACCTACGACTAGTGCTCGGCAAAATCAAACAAAAACTCGATTATCGAGTTTTTGAATCTATCAGTTTACAATATTGTGCATTAAATACAAATTTTATTTTTAGTATATATATAAATCTAACAGGAATCCGATCTTACTTTAGACTTCGTGGTAACTAGCATGAAGTTTAAAGTCAGATAAGAGTAAACATAGATTTTATAATTGAAGCACAATACTATAAATCGATAGATTCAAAAACTCGATAATCGAGTTTTTGTTTGATTTTGCCGAGCACTACCTACGACCATTCGCCAATTAGCGACTGACTCGTCGTCCACAGTTGTCAATATATCAAACAATAGTACGTAAGTTTTTATTACGCTACATTCAATAACTTCTTTTTTTTATTGCATAATTGGATAACGATACAGCACTTAACTTGCCACTAAACCATAAAACCATAAAAGCCCAAAAAGATTGTGGACCGGTCCGTTCTGAATCATAACGCTCTGTAGTTTGTCATTTACCCTATAAAAAAAATGTACCAGATCGGAACGGGTTTGTTTCGGATAGGCACGGGTCAAAATCCGGATTTGTACAGGTATGACCGATTGGACCATAAACGGGCCAAAATTTCCAATTTCCGCAGTTTTTATTATGAATAAAAAATTTTCAAACCAATCATATGCAAGATTTGGCGTGACTATTGAGATTAAAAGTGATATTCCTTATTATTTGCTTATCAGTTACTTATCAGCTTTTTATATAGTTTACTTTATGGGTCTTATCAGTTTTTATAAAAATTTTAATAATCACAATGTTCCGATTGGATATTTTGGCCCATACGCGGGTTTGCAACAGTTTAGTCGAATCGGCACGTGTACACGTATAAAATGTCCAAACATGCAGATTTTTGATAATAAAGAAGAGAAAAAGAAAAAGAAAGATCCGAATTAGCAAATGTAATAATTGGCATCTAAATGCAAGCGTGCTACATACTATTTTAGAGTTAGCACCATTATCAAGTGACATAACTTATATCGTACTAGTGATATGTGTCATCGGCCGGGAGGGCGGGCGGGTCGAGGATCGACCTGCACCTTTATGGGCCGGCCCGCCAATGTATAGTTAAATTTTCTTTGGCCAATAGAAATGCGGGAAAAAGTAAAACGAATTGATATAAATGTGGTTTGATATAAATGTGGTTATTCGTGATTTTTGGGGGTTTTTTTTCGATAAATTCATGATGCTAGGGTTTTTTAAATCATGAAATTTGGTTTGTTGGAACAAATTTTATAGTCATTCTTTACAAGTTATTATTGAAGCTGAGTTTTAATTCGAGATCGTTGTGCTTATGCAATAACGTACAAAAGGAAAAATCTATGATCATAAGAGTTTGCATGATAACTAATATTAACCGAAAATTTATAATTAATCTGTTAATTATAAAATAACTGTTTTTTTTTTTTATTCGATACGAGATCTTTATTAATACAATTTCTTTTTGCTCAATTTAATATATTCGAAAAGAAAAGTCAAAATATAAGTTGAATCTGATAATTGAACATCCTATAAGATCGACCGGTCGATGTATTTACCGGCCAGATCGACCCAGTATCTTTGCATCGCCCGTATCACTGATACGTACGTACGTACGCTGTGAAGGGGTAAATTGTGGGTCGAGATAACTTTTTCTCATATAGTAGATCGAGTTGATCCAGAACAGATCTGCCAGATCAACATATCTAACAGATATGTTATGTTAGATCCGCTGGATATGTTATATCCGTTAGATCTGTTAAATCTATTATATATGTTATATCCGTTAGATCTGTTAAATCTATTATATATGTTATATCCGTTAGATCTGCTAAATCTATTATATATGTTAGATCTAATAGATATAATCGAGAAGTGCAAAGCAACAAAACATGTATGTAAGGATGGCAAACTCCACTTTGAATAAGAATAACTTACACAGAGTTCAGAATTTAGTTGATTTTTAACCTTCAAAATTCGAGTAGAAGTGTTAGTTCAAAGTAGTTTCCTCTTGAGGCAATAAATTTGTAATACATAAGTCTAATTAAAAGTTCCCATATTCCCGTGATATTGACATATTTGTAGTTTTGATTTTTAGTAAGAGAAAGAAAGAGAAAGCATAGATTAGTTATTCAACTCTCTCTATATCAAATTCCTAATTGACTAAACTCTGATTAACGTTATTGTTAACCAAATTTCGATCCCATATCATGGTAACGTGATCCACATGACAATTGTTAAGAATCTTATTGTTTGAAATTGAATACCGAAATATTGCTGTACCTAAACTTGAGAAGAAGAATTACTTTTAGTTTCCAACTAAAGTATCAAAAGCACCAGTAAAGGCACGATACAAGACTATACTTATTATGTTCTCTAATATTACCATAGCAAGGCCCAAAAGACTTTGATTTAGACCAAGTTTCTTCATACATCCTTTCTGCTTTCCATCTCAAGGTTTAGGTGTCTTGGGAACGATTGCTGAATTATTTTAGAGTGTTGATTAGATAGTTAGTTGGTTTTAGCTTTAGACCCATTAGTCTTGCTCCTCACAACGCATGTTCGTATGCATGTACTGTGTAGCTATACTCTATTTATATCACAACAAAGTCCAAGTTAATTTCCCATCTTTAATCTTATTTCAGTATTAGTCTATGTGGCAATAAACTTCTTTGTAAAACTATCAAATAATTATCTTAAACTTCTTGATGATAAAGAAGATTTTAATGCAATTATTAATGTGGGAGAAACACTGAATATTAAAACATTTCAAGCACATTCAAATATTTTAAATTATATCTTTGTATTTTGTAATAAATTAGCAAATATTAGTAAAGATAAGAATAGTCTTAAAAAATTTATTATAAAACACACCTATGGTGGTTTTGCACCTATAATATATTTTATACCGTATAACTGCGAAATAATGTGCAGGGTTGTAATTTCAAATTTTAGCTTAAATTAAGCTTAATTTGGGCCAAAATTCAAAGTAATGCCCCTGTGCGTTATTTCACGGTTATATGGTAAAATTTTCAACACAAAACTTTCATGTTAGTTAAAATTAAGGTTTGAGAAAGGTTTTAGGGGTAGAGCATTTTTATTTAGGACATCTTGTATTGATTAATTAGCCAGTTTTTGGGATAATATATGCATAGGTGCAAAACATCATAGGTGCATTTTAGTAAAAGTTTATTAAATACTCAATTTAAAAAATATTTCAATTCAACAATTTAGATTATAACAAAGTAAGTTATTTTATTGCATATTACGATTCATAATTTATTTTATTTTATTTTTTTTTTTATGGTGACCTCATTTGGTCGAATAAGCAGCTGATTTTTATTAAGAATACTAATATTTTAGAATTACAATGAGAGTACAACTAGCCACATGTGCACTTTTGGTGCTTAATTTAAGTAGTCTGCCCAAGGGTTCTACACTAGCTGTCATACCTGCAACCCAAACTATGGAGTTGTCTATTTAAATGCTCTGATTATATTTCCTACTTCTACAAGTGGAGAATTCCTAAAAATGACTTATATACAGCCTTAAGACTAATTTATCCTCAGAGGCAAATCCTACTAGATTATTATGTGTCCCACACACAGGCAGCTATCTAGACTTTTAGTAACTTACGCCATAGCTTTACCATGTACTTGGGAGTTATTCACCCCTACTGTTACTTACTCCTTGTCCTTGTAAGGTTTACACAACCCTGGTATACACATTTGGACTTTCCTTTTTCCTCAAATTTTTTACCGATTTCTCCCTTACTTCCAGCTGGCAACCCAGAAGGATTAGTCTGCCCAGGCTTTATGTACCTTATATGCTCCCTCCCCTTGGCACATGCTTTCAAAGCACATGTCTTTTTTCTTTCAATTTTGGCGACCTGGCAGTTTGGTTGGTGTGTCCCCCACTAAAGGACCTGGTTGCTCAATTCTCCAATCTCAGTTTCCAGTTCCAAATTCAGTCTTCTTGTAGCACTGTTAAAAGTCATGCTACCTCCTGACTCAGAACTCACCAAATAGGTTTTTAGTTATTCTGGTTCCTTGGATTTATTGCACCAAAGCTCCCATTCTAGATGGTGTGACCAAGATTACAGATTAGGATCCAACCGATAATGCTAGCCATTAACCGTAATGCAGGGCTATTTTTCGAAAGCGTCATCCTTGGGATTCGAACTCTAGACCTGCCACCTGGGGTGCGACAACTCCACCACTTCACAAAGTCGCCACACCTTACGATTCATAATTTATATAATATTACAAGAAATTTAAAAGTATAAATTAATTTTATCATCATATAAAAATATATTTAGATATTGTAGTAAAGTACCCTGATAAAGTTTTTGATTCAAAATAGTTTGTTTCACTTGAAGAAAATATGATTGTCTCACTTATTGATCGAGATGATTTACAAATGGAAGAGGTAAAAATTTGGAATCTTTTATCGAATGGGGAATTGCTCGAAATCATGACTTATATTAGATCTTGAAGACTGGTCCAAAGAAAATTTCTAATTTTAAAGGCTACTTTACAAATTTGCTTACTCATATCCGTTGTTTCAAATATCTGGGGATAATATTATTTATAATCTACAACCGTATCATCAAATTTTAAATAAAAACCTTTGGAATGATATAATGAAAAGAACAATAAATCAAAATCGACAAATATCATCAACAATTCTTCCACCTCGTATAATTTTGACATCAGCATTATCAACACATATCACGGAATCATTTTCAACAGTCATTAATGAAGTCATGCAGCAGAAATTGCAACATGGATTAATAAGAAAACTAAAATGTATTCGACAACAAAAACCGATATGAATTTAAATTACTTCTTCGTGGCACTAGAGATGGCTTTACTGCCGAATCATTTTGGAAATTATGTGACATGCAAGCAAATACTATTGTCGTTATGATGATCAGAAATACCGATGAAATTCTTGGTGGTTATAATCCAATTCAATGAAATAAATCAATTGGCAATTATGTAAGTTGCAATGATAGCTTTATTTTTTCATTGAAAAATGGCACTACAAAATCCTCTATTTTAAGTCGCGTACAAATTTCATTTTGCAATTTTTGCAATTTTCTGTAATTCTGATTCTGGTCCATGTTTTGATAATGATTTCCGAATGTGTAATCAAAATAGTAATTATTGTAGGCAAGTTCATATGAAAAAGCAATTCGAAATATTGACGGTTATTTTTCAATATTAGAAACGAAAATTCCAAATTCGAAAAAAAAGTTAAAAAATTAAATTTTAAAAATTTATTTCAGTTAAAATAGATTTCATTTTTTGGTTTTGAAATTAAGCAATTAAAAAAATAGTTAATTCATTTCAAATGCACTTATTTTATATAATTATTTGGCCTCTTTATTTTTCATTATCATGTATTTGAACAAATTCATTTAAAACTTCTAATTAAAATATAAAAATTTTATTTTATAGATTTATAAATTGGGCTTATTTAATATATGCACCTACACAGCTGTGCACCTCTTTATGTTTTTTAAAATTTTACTATTGTATTCTCAAAATTTTACTAAGATAACCCCAGTTGTATTCTTAACAAAAAATGCTCTCTCGAAAAGTTACCTTAGATTTTAATTTTAAATTAATCCTAATCCTAACCCTAACCTGACTCTAACCTCTAACCTTCAAATTCTAATCAAACACTAACCCTAACCCTAATCCTAATTATTGTTTATATTTCTTACTATAGGGTGCATAAAATTAATAAATCCTTATAAATTAATAAATTTATGCTCAATAGATATTATATTTAAAAGTTTTTTTTTTCAAGCATATGATGTTACGCATAAGGAGATAAGTAATAATAATATCCTGATCCGTTGGGTATTAGCGGGGCTGAAAGTCCCGCTAATTCACATACGGTCAGGGTAT